GTTCTAATTATGTGTATTTTTCCTTCATCTAGGATCTAGTATCAAACTTTAATTCATTTTTAAAAAAATTCACAGATTTTGATGACTTAATATTTAAATCATAATACTTTATAAAAGCGACTACGAAAATATGAGATGTTTTTCAAAGTGAGGTTATCTTTAATCTCCGTACGGCCTCAAATTCAGATGATTTTTGTGACTTTTCCTACTTTTGACATTAAGTGCTATTTGTTACAGTTTATTCAAAATATTAACCTAATGAAAAATTAACCAAAAACAACTCTAAATGAATAAACTACTAGCGAGATTACTGTGTAGTCGTCGGAGTATAATATATCATCAACTTTTTTGTCTTTTGTATGCAACAACGTTTAATTAAGAATCTGCTAAGATCAAACTCATATTCGTGCGTGTATGTGTATAATCGATATTTCGATATTATAGTATTCTTTCGATAGCCATAGCAATAGACCCTCGGGCGACGAATATAATTTTGGTTTATTGCAGGGTCATCGGCACCCAGGCATCCGGTAGCCCCCGCGCGAATGCTGTGTATACCGTGATACACAATGCAAACATATTATGTTTTATATACCAAAGACACACACATACGAGTACAAATAGACGAAGAAGAAGCAAAGAAGATTGTAATATGCAGCAGCCGTTGATTGGCAACCGGTTTCTCATGAATCTAATCACGTGCATCGTGCATGCGCCACCGCCCCAGCCGTTGTCATCGTAATGTGTATCCATCGCGCCAGAAATAATAATAATAATAATAATAATCGCTCCACGACAGTGCGGCAAATCGAAATCGAACGAAACCCATTGTCCGCTGGAGTCCCTATTGTGTCCACCCGATTGAAATGGATTCCGTCCCCGAGGCGAATTACTCGCTAATTAAACCCGATGCGGACGCCACTATTCTTATACATGGCGTATATTATATTGCACATAGAAAATTCAAGATGAATGAACTGTGAAGACGACGAACGCGTATGAAAAATATAGGCACACTGCACATTTTCAACACACTTGGTCCAGTAGGCTACAGAAAACGTATTATATGTATATAAATAATAAAAGTATAATACAATGTATTGCCTATATATTTTTCGTGAGCGTAAAATATAATGACATAATAGTCATATTATTATTATTACATATTAATATTATAATCGTATTTATTATCTTATACATTGTTAAAATAGCGGTGCGTGTATAATACACTGCGAAAGACATTCCGGACGTATAATATTATTATCATTGAAAGCCAGACGGAAAATCGTTAGCGCCGGAGCCCGCGCTTTGCGAGTTCCGGTGAATGGCTGCCGCGCGTATACGATGTTTCCAGAAGACAAAGAGTTTCAATGTGCGCGGAAGAATTTTKCAATCCAGCCACCTAACTTGGATCGAATCCTTACGCGTTAAAATATAATAATAGGCAGTCTTAYGCGCTTCTCATCGCTAGATTTTTTTCCWGATTCTGACGAAATTAAATTGAAATGAATTATATTATTTATACAGCTTTAAACTTTAAAAAAAAACATGGAGTGAAAAAGGTAGAAAAACTGAAAATACTTGGWATCATATCATGCGATAGTCGAGAATAAGACATGATGTATTGAACTTAAAGTTAGGTAAAAAAAATATTTAAGTCAATATTAATCGAACTGTTGCTTCGGTTGGTATCAAGCGATGACCACACAAAGTTTATTTACAATCAAGGATGTATTTCATTACTTACACTGMAGAGTGCACATACAAATCCCAATCACTCCTTTATTCGGAAAGTATTCATAAAATATAACAGTTATAATATAATATTTCCACAATCAYCAAGATATATGTATAACTCAACTGGGGTGTAATAAGATTTCTTGGATAATAAAATACCAATAAATTGATGTGTACGGCTTATTAATATAGGAAGTATAACTGCTAACTATATATATAGTTTATAATATTAAAATTATTTGTGCCATAAAATCATAAGAAAAATACAAGGAAAAAATGTAATTTTAAATTACAATCGTTACATAACACTTAATTATACGTTTAAACACGATATGTATCTAAATGTAATTCACAATTTAAGCAAATGTATGGCTGTACAGTGTACATACAAAATTAAATTATAAGTAATTAATAATCATCAATATTATGCATACTTAATGTACAAATATTATAATAGTATAATAAGCAATATTGAAATATATTAAGATTTTATGTATGATTTAAAAAATTTATTTCAAATATACTATATAATATATATAATAAGATATAAGTTGACACACCTAATAATTGTATAACTATTAACCATAGGTCTATACGTGGAAAAGGCCAAGTACATTATCAAACTTGGCCARCAAATTTATTGAAACTTCTAACCTAGTAAGCCATAATGAACACATTGATAATACTGTAATAGTATTAAACTTAGCATAATATACCTAGTATGGCTATAGTATAGTTATAGGTATTTACTCAGATAATAATGCACCAGATGACTGTTGCGCGTGCCAGATACTTAGCAATGATAATAAATTGTGAATACTGAATAATGATGCATATTATGTTGAAACTTAAAAACATTATATTAATTTTTCGAAACGCTCGTCAAAATCCCCATAGTTTTAGTTCAGACCCATCCCAGAAACACATAGCATATTATACTTGTTTTATTTAAAGACTGTAATTTTCAACATCTAAACGATATAGTATATACATCTGTGGGGGGGAGGTAAACATAGAAATAGTGATGAAAATAATATAAATTATAATCAGTGATTTAGAGAACGTTATACATATTATACTTCAGGRCATCCAGCCCTCCTTTTTATAAACATATTATATTATAAAAGTGTACATGTCAACATTTGACAGACTATTAGTATTGGTATTATTATTATATTTTAATACTGAACGAATCGAGTTTTTTAAAATATTTTGTGTCTTCATTTAATATTTAATAATGAATACTTACAATATATTTTAAATGGTTCAACAGTAGGAGGTACCTATATACACTACCTACTTATATAATGTCCTATATCGGCTATATCATATTAGATTAAATATTAAATAAAAATGCACTATGCTACAAATGGAAACGGGTAGTTATTTGTAACTTATAATGTTAGGCATAAACTATAATTTTGTGAAAAGAATACGAAATTGTCGTCATATAATTAATAACTATCTAAAATATTAGAACTATATACAAATTCAATATTTCAATATGAGGGCYAATATTATGCAACTATTCTAAACGGAAATAAAATTTACATTATAAATCTATGTTATGAAAACAAGATGTTAGCTGTATTAAACTATTGAAATCAAATTTTGAAAAATACACCCTAAATATAATATATACTTTGGATTTTTGAGTGTATTGTATATATTATATGTCTTCAAGATGTAAATACGTTATTATTATTTTTTTTTAAATATTTTTAAATACTGATTTTGTATCACAAATAATTCACAATCATTAAAAACCAATCATGGCCAAACAAAATATATGTTAATTGTGCACAWAATAAGATATTTATACTTGCTTAAATGCCATCAATGTRTTATAATTTATAAGTTATAACTGAACTGATAATTGAATCTGAATTAATATTGATTTTAAACAARCAAATTGGTGTCTATTAGTTTAACCATATATTAGTATAATTAAATAATTAGATTYTCTTATCGGGATAGTGTCAGTAATCAGTATAGTACAACCATTGATTAAATATCAATGGTACAACTGCTGGAACGATATAATATTATAGGAGTCGGAAAACGTATAGATACCAGCGAGTTTTTGGTGTACATTGTGGTAATGGTTAAACATAGGTAATACAAGGGTACTTAGTATGAAATCTTGGCAAATACTGATTTGGTAATATTATATTGTCTTATAAGATTACTAGATAACATCATTAACATCGAAAACAAAACATGAATATTCAATATAGAAAAAAAGTGTAATTTAGTTTTAAAAATAGTGTTAGGCAAGAATTTCTAAGTTGTATTTATAATATTATAATACCTATTGATACTTTTAGAGTACCTACTTACTACATTATGATTTCTAAGAACTATGCTGCGTAAAAATAACACATGTATGATTTTTAGGTATTAGGTACGCTTTACCTCCAAAATAGCGAAAATCATTCAATTGAAAGAATAAATAGTGAATAAAACATTATGGTGCAATGCTAATATATATATATATGAAATAGTACCAAAAGCCTACAGAGGATCTTGATGGGTTTAAGTCTCCCACCCAGGAACTAAAAAGAAATTTCACGATTATTATATAAACAATATATTATTCAAGTTTGAGAGCTACATTTATGATAATGAGTTAYGAATAAATGTAACATAAAATAAAAACCCWTAATAATATTGAATACTGAATAGTATCTATGCCGCCAATGAGCTAGACATTTATTTAGTGTTTATATTAATGAAAAGCGCTTCAATGATATTGAACTTTCCTTATGGGCTTGTTTTAAAAAATGAACGCATAAATCGTTAAAACAAACGAAAAAGTGTTAACATTATACATAATTTAGAAATATTTTACTAATTTGAAATTAATTTTTAARACTTCTAGCGCTATCTACACTACAATACATATTAAAATTAAAATCTAACTTTTATTGTGTACTTATTKCTATTCAGTTTGGTAGTCAAACTGTCAAAGTATCTATTTTTTTCTAATATCTTTATACTTTTATGCTATGAGAAATCAATAAATATTATCGAGATCATCAAAGGATTTAGCAGTTATTAAGTATCAAATAGAGGATTAAATACTTCAAGACTTTAAGAGTTAATTAAAATTACCTAGTGTCTGCTTACACTCAAACAAATTAAACAAAAATAATTATAATCATGAATAAGTTTTTACATTTGCTGACTAACTTTTAATTAATAAATCCTGACTTATTGAGACAATTCAATAATTTTCATTCATAACTTTTCATATATTGTACCTGTATCATTTATTGAAGGTTCTGTCTTGATGTACTTGTTTTGATTGATGAACATATCTGAATTTTGGTTTAAACTTGGATTTAACTGAGACACAGGATTCAAAAGTTTTTCTAAATCATAGAACAATACAAATTTTAATTATTACCTACTTAAAATAAAATTATTTTTAACAACTGTCTMCAAAAAATGTGATTTTAAATACATTTAATGAATAATTATAATTCTACTACTTAAATTAAAGCTGAAAGCCCAAAAGGTACCTACCTAGGTATCTATTGAACTTTTATAAATAATTATAGTTTTAATTTACTTTCCTTCAGTAATTTAGAAATATAAATAACTACTTGTATTTACACAATGATACTTGATTTATAAAATATACCTATACTAARTATTCACATTTTAATTTTTAATAGATAAAATATTATGATGATAAATTATAGTACCTAATGTACATTTAAAAAAAAAATGATTTAGAGTTATATGTGATTAAATAAATGGTTATTGTGCGTTTAACATCAAGTATTCAATTAAAGTTCTATAATTATATCCCTAGGTAACTATTTAAATATGTTTTATAATTTTAAAAAAATTATAATATTTCAGATTTATCTATACAATATTTCATTAAACATGTTAAATCCTATTTTATCTATTAATTATCTATGCATCTATTAAAATATTCTGATCTGTATTCATACTTTCAAATACTTAAGATTTTTAAAAATGTACTTTAACACACACATTTTTTTTATTGGGTCTTCCTAACTTTTTTAAGATGTTAATATAATAAGTATCAGATATAAATAAAAATTTGAACAAGTATTGAAAATTATTTTACTTATATAGATACTAAGGATACATGATACATGATTTTTTTCAAATAGCATCATATTGGAATTKGATATGGTAGTTTTAAATTTTCATGAATAATATTAATGATTAATCTATTATAAAAAATKTAATTATTTTTAAAATATCTKAGTGTGTTCTAAATATGGCACATAATATTTTATTTTTTGTATAAAACCATTATTTAGACTATTATCTTTAGTACATAACATTTAATAACTAAAAAATAGGTAAGTAATCAAAAATCTTTTWAATTTTTTTAATAACAAAATCTACTCTACAAACCACAGTAGACAAAAGATTTATCGTAAACAAAAACAAAGAATACATGACACTCTATAAATAGGAAAAATTGAGTTGGGTTTAGAGATGGTTTTTAAATAACACAAAAAAATCTAGATATAARAGTCCTTAAGAATCCCAACAGTTAAAAATTGGACAAATATAGGTTAAACTGTTACGGAAGAGGGGAGTTACATGCYAGTGCTAGGTGAATCATCAAACATAAATAATATTATAACCTATCAGCTGTCACCAATATTTTTAAGTTAGAGAGGTATATATTTTTTAGATTAATATTTTGAAATTAAACAATGTTAAATAATTTTTAAATTCATTAAATTAGATAGGTATATAAAAAGTTCTGTTTAATTTAAATTGCTAGTGAAAATAAGTGAACACTTAAAGTTGTTTTTAAAATTTTWTTTTTGGTGTTTAGTAGGTACAGTACCTAGGGACTAGATTTTATAATTAATTAAAAACTATGTAATTAAATACTCAATATAATAATATGTTTAGTATATAAAATATTATAAATATTCTCCATCATTACAAAATTAATGGAAGGACTGTGTTCAATGTTAACAATTAAACAATGATTAGGACATGCTATTATGATAGATATGCTAAGTTCAAAGTTGACTGTTATGATGGACATTTTAGAATATTGAACCCACTACAAGTTTATCTATATTTTAATTCAAACAAAACAATTACAAGTATTTTTATGTAGATACATTTAGTCACAATTTGACAATTTTGTTAACTATTAGATACCATACTATTTTAGTGTAATATTATTTGTATTCTCGTACTATAATTTATGTCATAAATAGGTACCTACTAAATTTGTATAAACTATAAATAATTATTTTTGGGAATAGTCATGTAGGTTTTAACATATGACTTCATAAAAAATATAAACGATAGATATAAATAATTATTTCTGATATGAGCAAATCAAAAAGTGGTTGGATACATTATTATTAAATGTATAATAAACATTTAAGATTTATAGGAGGTATATTGTAGGTTTCAGATTGTATATTTGAATTTTGAACTTTTTTTTTTCAAAATTACTTTCTAATTTATGGGTGCATATCACATAATCTTGTATAAGAGTATGTACCTGCAAGCAAAGGATTTGCAGTGGTAATGTTGAATTTCTTGCCAGCATTTGTGCGTTGCAACTCTTGAAGTAATGCAACAGCAGCATGGTTTTTGTTACCCGTTGACATGACATTATTGTTATTTTCTTCCTGTAAAAATAAAAATGTATGTTACATCATAAACATACATTAAAATAGCTTATTTTATTTATATTTATTTATGAATTAGAGCATTTTAAGGCACAAAAAGTAAAATATTTTACTATTTAAAAGTAGTTAAATAAAATAATTGGACAATTTGATACAAAAATGTTTTGAGAAAGTGTTGTCGATGTAGATTGTAGATAAATACAAAAGATCACATTAAAAAAAATAAAACCATATTGTTCAAAAGGAGATGAACCTAATACTAACATGTAAATAGGTA